TAGTCAATAACAATTGCCGAAATATGTGTACTATTTGAAAAAGCATTTATAAAAAAATGAAGAGAACGAGATAAAAAAGTCATGAAGATAATCGTCTGAAATAGAAACTAGGGAGGATGGATTATTAAGGTTCGATCTTCATAAATTTCAAGTGAGTTAACGAAGTTTTGCCAACTGCTATGCACCTTAAAAACGGAAACGAATAAAAAAAGAAAATCAAAAGTGTTTAGGGCAGGGATTCTTCACCTGGGTCCAATAGAACTTAATAGGATCGCTAAGTGGGTCTTAGGGCTGTGGCGGAGGTCAACACACACTCTTCTCACGATCGCATTCTGTCGGTGTGAACGACACAACTATTGAGAAGGGTCCGGTGAATGCGCATAGGAAACTAAGGTGGGTTAAGAACCACTTCTTAAGAGTGTAGTTTTTATAAGGTGCAGGCTTATTTTGTCGTGTTTTCAGAACTTCAGATTATTTCGATAATAGTATATTCTTTTTTTTTCATTTTATCAGTTAGGTTGAATAAAGTAACAACGCAGTACAAGTTTTCACATTGTACAAATTTTACCTCGTTTAGTAGGTCTAGTGGCCTTAACTAAAGAAAAAAGAAGTATAAGGACTTGTTATGTAACAAGTAAACAAAAAAATGATCTATTCGGTACAATACACTAATTTTATTGGCTCTTAAAATTGGGATCCGGACAAAAAACCAACATGGACAAAAGGCCGACACGAACAAATGGCCAACTTGGACAAAAGGTCGACAAGACAAAGGGCCGAGTGCTTAAAAGCCGACATCCATAAGGCCGACAAGAGAAAAGGCCAACAAATTTTATAAAACAACAAACTACAATTACAGCCATTTACAAGTTACATAATTATACAGTTATAGCACAACAGAGAAAAAAAAATAGGACCTAGTATTATAGTAGAAATTCAAGTCTATTTCTGTTTTCACGTTCTGTAAATATTGTTTTTTATTCGCTTTTTGACAGCTAACCAAGCAATATACTTCCACTCTTCCTTGTTCTTACTTTAGTTTTAAGATCAACAAAAGACTCCAGGGTGCTATTTTCTCTCAACTGTGTATGGGTCCTTGAAATCTTATTTAGATAATTGTCATGGTTTCTTTCATTCTTTTTGCCACCTATCTGTTTATCCTTTGTACACTACCGTCATCCCTAGTCGCATGTACCCCATTGTTCACCTTATAAGGATCGCGACTAGCATTGTCGGTTGACGTTCCACCTTGTTGCATGTGGGCGATGATGCCGGCGGCTTTTGACTTGGTTCTTTGATGGTTTTCTCACCTCTTTGACATAGAAGGAGCAATAAAAGACAGTAGTGACCGCAATTCGCAATATTTAAGTGTTGATCCTTTGTGTTTTAGACACTCCCGTCATATTTTGCGATACATGCATTTTTTATGTTTTTCGGCCTAATGGTCTGTCGGCCTTTTGGATGTCTGCCATTTGGCTGTCGGCCTAATGTCCTGTCGGCCTTATGTCCTGTCGGCCTTTCGGCTGTCGGCTTTTTGTCCATGTCGGCCTTTCGGATGTCGGCCTTTTGTTCTACATCCCTTAAAATTGATATTGATATAAAAAAGGATATTGCCTTCCACCCGACAGCTCCGACGATACAAGAATCTGTGTTATTTATTTCTCTTTTATACAGTGATCTAGGCAAGATATAATGCAATCAAGAAAAAGTATTAAAAGTGTTAGAAGATTTATTTACTCACGTTATAATAATTTCTATTTACCTTACTAATAAATAAAGCACGAGTGAATTTATTTAAATTTTCTCAAATATTCTTATATAACACTACGAGGGACGACAACTCGGGATATAAATATGATCTTTAATCAATTTGTACTTATTTAAACTTTTAAAAATAAAATAGAATCTCTTAGAAAAAAAATTGCGTACCATGTAGGCTAAACAGCAAACAATATGAGTATAATAGTGTTGCTTCCAGTCACTGAAAATTACTTTAAATTTGACAGATGGCAGAGAAATAGAACCTTTACTAGTATGTAATTTTTTGTTATATCTACCTTAAACAGTACTCAACCAAAAGTAGAATAAGTTCCAATTCCGATAACTGCAAATGTTTAAAAATTGTTACAGAACTACAAATTTAGTATTATACTTATATATGAAATTTCATCAACGTACCTGTGCCGGTACATAATTTATTGTGTTCATAAATGGACACGCACATAGACACACGGACGAAATTGCACAACTAAGTTTTTCCGACTCAGTGATGTGTAAAAAGTCGAGATTTGTGAAAATCTTGATTTCGATTTTTTTTGCAAGATTACAAAACTTTTTTCTAGAATTCGTCTACAATAAAAGTAAAAATTATTTTTGTCAGAAATGCTGAAATGTTGATAAAAATATAATTACGGTCCTTATTAATGTTTAGTCAAACTTACTTAAACAGTCCTTAAACTGTCGATATTTTAGACAATGGAAATACGTACGTGTTCTAGATATCGGACACCTTTAAAAGAAATATATATAAATTTGCGTATTATTTTAGTTCTTATACTAATATATGCAATTTGTTTTCTGGAAGTAAAATTGTTTACACAGAAAGTGAGTACATAAGCACTACCGCTTACTGGAAATCGCTATTTAGAGACAGTCACACAAAAAACAGACTGATTAACAAGATTACAAAATTTTTCGTTTTTCAGACTCGAATTCAATTTTTCTCAAGATTAAATATACTAAGTTCCTCTATACTCTGTACACTATAAATAAGAACGTGCAATTTTCATTTTATTATCACAAAATAAGTTGTTTTTTTTTATTTATGTTCTGAAAACTTTTAAAATTTATATAATACAACAATCTTTATATAAATAACTGTTTCTTATCTGTAATTTGTTGATTTTCTTTTCAATCCGCTGTTTCTCTTCTTTTGGTAAATTAGCCTTGATTTTCCCATATCGCTGTTCCAGGTCTTTTAGTTTTGATTCCAAAGTCTCGGCATTTGCTACTTCAGCAAGTTTAAGCTTCTTAATAAGCAGTTGGTTTTTAAGCTTCATTTCTGTCAAAGCTAATTCCTTATCGCGAAGTTCGGTTTTATGCCGCAGACACTGATTTTGATAATTCGTTTCCAGTTGTTGGTTTTTCTGTTTTGTTTCTTCCAGCTGTTTACACACATTATGTTTCTCTAAAGTGGTATTTAGTATTCGTTGTTCTAGGTTTTTGCTTTCTTTCTTGTATTTATCTGTCAGTTCTTTGTATTTTTTCTCTAAGGTTTCTTTTTCAAGTTGTATCATTTTTTCTACATTGCTTTTTTCCACCTCAAATTGCAATTTGATTTCATTTATATTACTGTCAAATTGTTTCTTGAGTTGCTGTTCATTTTTTCTTATATTGTTTTTCTATTTCCGTCCTTTCTTTTTCTCCCAATTCTTTATTTTTCTTTAGCTCGTCTCGTTCTTTTTGTATTCTTTCCATCTCGAATTGATGTTTTTTCATTTTCTGCTCTTAATACTTTGTTACGTTTCTTCTATTCTTCTTGTAGTTGTTTTTTAATTTCCGCTTCTTTTTTCTTAGTTTCATTCTCCATTTTTTTTCTTTCTTCGAAAAGTTTTTGTTGTTCTAATTTTTGCTCTTTTAGCATCTTGTTAAGAATTTTATTCAATGTCTCTTGTTGTTCCTGGTGCATTTTCTCTTCTTTTTGTAATTTGTAATTGGCTTCAAGTAATTCTGATATTGAATTAATTCTATCTTTAAACATGGCATGCATTTGATCTATGTTTCTGATAAGATCAGCTAATGCACCAGTCTCATTATCTTGAGCAACTAAATATTCACGAAGCTTTTTAATTTCGTTAACAAGGTTCTCAGTTATTGATCTCTGTTCTGTAAGGTTATCTGTATATTGTAACTTGTCATAGTCATTTAAAATCAATCTTTGTTTATTCATTGCGTCATCTCGTATTTTGAGTTCTTTAGATTTAACTAAAATTATTTTTCTCGACTGTTCTGTGTAACTAAAGTTTTCAAAGCTGTACCGCTTTATTCTACGTTGAATATCATCAATAAGACTTAGTACCATAGCAACTTGTAGTTTTTGTTTCTCCGCATCATTTGAACAGTTGTCAAACATAACAACTCGGTTGTTACATTCAGTTAACAAATCCTTAAAGACACCAGTTTGCTCAAGACACCACATTTCAAAAGTTTTTTCTGGTTTTTGTGATCTTTACAAAAAACATCACCATGTGTCATAACAAGTACACAGAATTGTTTCACAAAGTCCTCACCAAATATATTTTTTAACAATCGGATGCATTCAAAATCTTCCTTTGTGAATCTAGCGCCGTATCTAACCACAAGAAGAAAAGCATGGTAGCCTTGAGGAGTTAAAAGAATCGCAGTTTTCATACTGTTGATTACAAGCTCTGTCACCTGCTCTACATCATCTATTGCTGCCGTATCACCTACACCAGGACTGTCTACAACTTTAATGATACGGTTACCTATTCTGTCACCTGCTCTACATCATCTATTGCTGCCGTATCACCTACACCAGGACTGTCTACAACTTTAATGATACGGTTACCTATTCTGTCACCTGCTCTACATCATCTATTGCTGCCGTATCACCTACACCAGGACTGTCTACAACTTTAATGATACGGTTACCTATTCTGTCACCTGCTCTACATCATCTATTGCTGCCGTATCACCTACACCAAGACTGTCTACAACTTTAATGATACGGTTACCTATTCTGTCACCTGCTCTACATCATCTATTGCTGCCGTATCACCTACACCAGGACTGTCTACAACTTTAATGATACGGTTACCTATTCTGACGACTGCTGATGATACATGATGCGTCACTGACTCACAGCTTGAATCAGCTGGAAACTCATCACGACCCAGAATCATGTTGCCTGTTTTACTTTTGCCATTGCCAGTTTTACCTATCAATAGAAGATTCACCTCTTCTTCTGTGTAAGCAACTGCCTGAAAATGAATTGTATACATTTAATAAACTGTACAATACCAATTTGCAAATTACTTGAAAAAAGTATGAAAGCTTATTTAACCTATTCTTCAAAATTTAACAGCGCTATATTTTTTTCGTATACAGAGTAGGCTATTGAGGAGGTAATCTTGTACAAAATTCACATTAAATTTCGACAGTTTTGGCCTCAGTACTTTATCATATACGGAATAAAGTAGACTTATTTAAATCGTGAAAAATTCTAAACCAGAATTATCAAAATCTTAAATTTACGAGTTATCGAATCGGAAATTGGGCTTTGCAATTATTTCGTTTGCGTCTGAGTGTATATGTATGTCACTGAACACGGTAACTTAAATTAAATTAAAGTTATGTTGACGAAATTTCAAGTAGGCCTATCGGTATTTTATCAGATGTTTAGTATCCTCTCAACTTTGAACGTTTAACGATAACCTAATAACCGTAACCATTATCCTGATACGAACGCGTATATATATATATATATATATATATATATATATATATATATATATATATATATATATATTTCTATATAATTTTATTTGTTTTCTACATCTACATCTTTATACTCCTAAAACTCAACAAATTTTATGTCGGCCATAACTTTAACAATACGCCCGCTTGATGTTTCTATTAAGTTCCAACACTTATATCAATTTTCAACTGTATTTTTCATTTAGTTTTATAATAAATTTCTCTAGCTCTACAATCTGTCCAAGAAAGTTATTTATTGATCTAGATCTAGAATCTAGGTCAAACCAAAGATTAATTAGTTAAAAATACAATCCATTTTGAAATCATAACACATTTTTGAGTTTCTTTATTAAACTACTTTAGTCCTTAAATACTTGATATAAATCTTTGTGAGTTATCTATCTAGATCTAGAATAGGTCTAATCTAGATCTAGCAAGAGCTACGCAAAAACTAGACTTAAGTAAACCAGTCGTAGATAATATAGATAATTCTATCTAGATTTAGATAATAATGAGTTTCTATATACTAAACTATTTCAGACTTTTATTATTTTATATAATCTTTGTTTGTTCAGCTATGAACTTGGCTAATTGAAGATAAAATTTAATTTGAAAATTACTAGACTTGGATCTAGATTTAGATAGCACCTATGCGCGTAAATCAAGTTGCATAATGAGACTCATAGTATTATTATAGAGCACAAAAACATCATTGACGTCACGAGTCCAGATAGCCAAGTTGTAAATGTAATAGGCTTTCATGCGGGTGGCACGGGTTCTAGACACATCACGTCAATGTTAAAAAAAATTCAATTTGTTTTTTTTTTAGATGTGAATAAAGTTGCCTATCTGAACTTGGCGGGTTACAGGGCAGGTGAAGTAGAGTTCATCTGTTTCTTTGTCCTAAGCATATGAAAGGATAGTGTGGTCAGAGACATGCTAGCCCGGAATCGTTTTTTTAAACGATAAAAACAAGTTATCTGAGACTTGGCGTGACACTGGGCAGGTGAAGTAGAGTTGAGTAGGTCACCTGTGACGTCAGTATATAAGGGATAGTGTGGTCAGACCTATGCTCAGCCGAAATCGGTGTTTTTAAAAGATAAAAAACGTCTTTTTGAATGTGGGGTCTGGTTATTTTGTGATGATAAGCGACAGACGTGATGTCATTTATGGATGACCCCCGAAACCTACAGTTATCCAAGGGATGACCGGGTAAGTCTAGTTCACTTCTAAAATTAGGCGTTTAAATTTGTGTGTAAATTATCAATGACGTCATTATTACTGTGTATCGTTTTCAGTATTCGATTCTTAACTTTTTTTCAACATCAATGAAGCCATTATATTTTGTGTATAGACGCTACATGTAGACATTTCAACATTACCTTATCTGGTAATCTAGATCTACACGTTGTTACTACACATTATACAAAATATAGTTGTGTTCAAACCGCTAAACCTTGCACATAAGCTCAAACTTGCAAAAAGTTGAATTTACGTATCTCTACGTTTGGGGCGGGTTGGAGGAGAGGGGTGTGAGGGGAGCCCTCCGAAAAACGAAACAGAATTTATATAGAAAATATATACTTTTACCAGTTTCCGCCCTCCTCGTCCATTCCCCTTCCGTGTTAAATTTTGTTCGCCCCCCCCCCCGCCCCCAGAAAAATGTCCTGAAAGTATCACTGGTCGCATTTGTTAATTATACAGACTAAAGGTAGACGCGAAATCTATAATCTAGACTTACTTTTTGCAGATTAATCTCAGTAATACAGACGTTATTGAATGTAGAGTAAGCATAGAATTAAAAAGCAAATGCCAAAAAATACACAACAATAGTGACATTGTCGATACTCGATAATAAAGTCACTGGAATTGCCGCCTAATTCATTTGTCTAACCTTAAACGTGGTTTTCGTGCAGAGTTTTATTCAAGTATATCTTTAGCATCTCTGGAATACCCGCCCTCCCACCCTAGAACGAAAAACAATTTATGTAGAAAATAAATACTTTTACCTGTGTAAGATTTCCCCTTCCCCAAAGAATTCAATTCGCACCCCCCCCCCCCTAAAATGTATAGAAAAAAGTCTGAAGAATCACTATCCCCATCATAGTCTGTATGATCTACAAATGCGACTAATGTTTCTTCTAAAACTTTTTTGCTCCCGAAGGGCAGAGGGTACTTGAAGTTTCTGGGGTAGGTTTGGACTAAGTTTTATGAGGTGGGTGCAGACATTGGTAAAAGTATATATTCCATTGAGAATCGCTTAAAAGAAACTCTTAATGTGACTTTCGTCATGTTTGAGCTTAGGTGCAAAGTTAAGGGGTATGACTACGACTATACTTAATATCAAGGTGCAGTACCTACGTGTTGTTCAAGCTTAAATCCGGATAATATGCCGATTATAGATAACAATCCGTTTTCAATGACATTTTTCGTTTCCAGTTAAATTTGAAGTTAAGACGGTGATTATGGTTTTTGTTTGGTTTATAGAAACCAACACTATCGTCAAATAGCAATCATCTATTTCGGGAATACCAGCGATAAACAGGCGTAAACCATTTTAAGGTCTGTGTTTGGTGTATTCGATTGATTTAACATTACGATAATGGCTTCTAGATTTAATGTTGGAGGTATCGATTTTTTAGTAATTGTTTTTAAAATAAGTAATATGCCTACAGTATAGTCAGACTCCACTTTTGTTATTGGTTCTAACTTCAGTGTGTGTGTGTGTTGCGGGATGGGGGGGTCGGTACAAAATAGTGTGTTCGTTTTTCTCAGTAACAGTGTTTTGTTTTGTTGAATTCTTTTATATTGTAATGTGTGTAAAATTGTTAAAAATATATAGCACATTCTCTTATTTTTTCTAGCGATAATAAATAAAAGTAATCTACTTCACTCTTGTCCGTGAGATATTTTGTCTGGGATATTTTGTCTGAGATCATTTGTCATGGAACCATATATATATATATATATATATATATATATATATATATATATATATATATATATATATATATATATATATATATATATATGTGTGTGTGTGTGTGTTGTTGAGTGTGTAAGTCTCTGTGTATCATAGGCGCCTACTTGTTATTTAACTAAAAAAGTTTGAACCACACATGAGATATTTGTTTTTTTTAGATGTTAGGCTTGTTATGATATGTTTCATTTTCCAAGTAGGGCCTATTTTTTTTTATTTTACTGTTTACTTTTTATGTTTAATCAAATTTGAACTGAGCAAAACTTGTGTTTTAGTATGTTTTAATAAAAAGTTTAGAAATTTTATTTAAAGCGGTAAAAATGGAAATAAAATATTACCATTGTGAGCTTGGGTCGTGCTTGGTATATGCTGCACCTAAAAGGTTTAGAACAAATACGTACATTTGCAAAAAAAAAAAAAGTCAGATGATCTAAGGATAAATGACCTTAGGACACATGATCTTAGGACAATTGATCTCAATCACAAATGATCTCAAGGATAAAATATATCAAGAGAGAATATTTCAGGAGAAATGATCTCAGACAAAACATTCAGACAAAATTCTCACTGCAAAATATTTATATCAGTTGGGCTGATTTTAGTTTATTTCATTATTAATGAAAATTAATTGTCATATTAAGTTTTTAAGTTGTACGGTAATGATTGTGAGACGAGTTTTGTCGCATAGGCTTCTAACAACACATTAAACATACTTAAATTGCAATTATAGAAATAATGTGTGCAGTTTAAAACTAATTTTCGATAGACTGTTTATTTGGGTTTGGCGATCATGAGACTGTTTTCCTTGATATTAAGTAGACGCAACTAGATCAAAGGGTTAGATGATCTAATTATGATAGGGCTCTGAAATAACGACTACGCAGCAAGGTAGCCACTTGCTTTATCGGCGGACAGGCCTTAAGGGAGAAGACATCCGCCGAATCACCCAAGAAAATTATTTCACGTGCTTTGAACATTAATGTGGTTAAGGGTTCCATCAAGTTATTTGAAAATATACATTTTCGCGTCTGATACGTTTCATATCAAATTATATTTAAAAATTAATTTTACTTAGTCTTTTGATAGTTTTTATAAGCTTAACGAATTCATTAAGTATATCTCATAATTATATTGGGCAATAAAAGTAAATGAAATCCATATGACACTCAATTTTAAAATATTAAAATCAATTAAACTCATCTTAAATACTATACATAATTAGCTATGAGATATTTCGTCCCTAGATCTTTTGTCCTTGAGATCATTTGTCATGAGATCTTTGTTTTTCTTAATCTTACTCCCTCTCTACAAAAAGTTCAATATCCATCATCACGGGAAAAAAACTATTTAATCACCATGCTGGGACCGTGATATGGTCACTAATATTAACACAGTTTAAATTACTGTTTATGAAAATTTCACAAACACAACCATTCTACATGCCTCCTAGAAATACAACACTACAGGTTGAAGACATAACACAGCAACAAATTCATCCAGTACTGGTAATATAAACTAAATAAT